GGTCCATACGTGCGAGGTGCGGCTGCTGATGCACGCAATACGGGAGCAAGGCGTGATTTGTTTGAGGAAAAAAAAATACGGCACAAAGGCTTAGTCAGACCGGGATGCTATCATGAAAGAAATAGAGAAGCTCGTTCAACAGCTACGTACGTGTGGTCAATTAGGAGTTTGGCTTGCTTTGTTAATCTCTTTTGGTGTTCACGCGGGAAGGCTGTGAAGGATTGTGCTTTGGGTTTTCTTTGCTGGTACACTTCTGTGTATGGATGGCGTTGGTTACGGTGAAGGCTTGAGGAGTCTGGAGTGTGTCGTTGCAGTCGGATATATTTGGCAGGGTCGGACTGGACAGTCTGACGGGATCGACACAAGTCGGTTGGTACAGAAGACGGTGATGGGATCGGCAACAACAACATAGGAGTGTGATGTTGGTGGTGACCGACTTCTGGGCGTGGAAACACGTGGCGCAAGCCCCGAGGGCTTGTGCGGCTTCGACGAGACTATGTCGCGGGGTTGATTCAAGACGGTGCACATGTGAGCTTGAAGTCGACGAGGCGCGAGGATAGACTGATCATCTACCATGGAGTCATGTTGAAGGTGGAGCTGGATTGAGGGGCTACAGTGTAAGGATCCAGGGAATCAAAGCCTATTCAGCAAGGGGGAAAAAGCGAGTGACACGCAGTTCGGACTGAAGCCCAATGGTCTGATGGAAGCATGAAACTCGTCATCGGTCGGTGATGATCGGTGGTACTCTGCAGTGGGGGTTGAGTGGTGTGGTTTCACGACCCTTGACACTCGATCGGGACAGCGGAGGCTCGACGCGGTAATAGCGGCTAGGTGTGCGGTACGCACGGGACATGGAGACGGGCCAGGGCTCTGGTGGTCATACATGTGGTGAGACAACTGCGAATTTGACTCGGAATGACTGCAACAATGGTGAAATTCTTTCAAGTTTCAGACAGACGGTCAAAAAGGAGCGGTGATGTTGAGTTCAGGTAACTCTTATGTGTAGCACCCAGTATGTGAGTTGTTCACTTTCACGCAGGTCAGTGATCGGTGTGTGATGGTGTTGGACTGATACTCTGAAAGTTGGGAGCACAAACTAGAGTATCAAGGAACTTAATTTTGCTCGAGTGTTGACTGTGGTCAAGAAAAGAAGGGACTACAAGTTGCAGGTGGAGTCACATGGAGTCTTTGGAGTAGCAGCAGTGCTCATGGGATAAGCTCAAGTTCAATGTACATGGAAGTTTGACGCATGGACGAACTCAAGATGGTGGAGAATATTCGCCAAGGTGGAGTTTGTTAGAGTTGTGTCGAATATAGTGTACAAGGTAGGTTACAGTTGGACTTGTAGTTGTATCGTGTTTACATAGGATGTGAAGTCGTGTCCTAGTAGGACACTCGTATCCTAGGCCTCTCATATATAGCGGGGTTAGACACACGATGTAACCTATGCCAACATAATAGCACAGGCGCACAAGGGGGAGCCGGCGGTGTGTACCGGCGCCTGGGTGGCCGGTGTGCGGTATTGTCAGGGGCGGAGCCAGAAAATTTAGCCATTGGGTTCACTTATTGACTCATGAGGATTTGGTACAAAAATTAACTAATGTAAAGTCTAATTTTACGCCGTCCTATGGCATCCAAAAATAACATAAAATAGAAATATCATATCACTTATCCCACATTTTTTACGTTAAAAACTGAAGAGGCAAGGCACATACCGGTTGGATGAAATTAGAAAATCTCTTGTTTAGATATCATAAAGGAAGTAGTAGCAAAATAAATTCATAGCACAGGTGTAGCTTCTCATCTTCCTGAATACATTGGGAAAAAAAGAAGTTAGTTTGATAAGTTTAAAATAAGTAGCATTAAGCGAAAAAAGATTGGTGGTCATATAGAGTGCCCCCCTTTTAATTGATCGGCATATTGAGAAGATTAAATATTACATCATTACTAACGGATAAAAACATACTTCCTTCGTTCCAAAATATAATTCGTCCTCGGTTTCTGCGCTTCAATTTTGACCATAAATTTTACCAACGAGACTGACTGCGGCGGGAGCGAAAATTATATAATTGAAAACTTCTTTTCTTTTGAATACGAATTCACTGGTATAATTTTTGCTCCTGTCGCAGTCAGTCTCGTTGGTTAAATTTATGATCAAAGTTGAACCTCGAGAAGCGCGGGCGCACTATATTTTGGAACGGAGGGAGTATATTTCTTCATATAGCAAATCAGAAAATCACTCATGAACTTGTCACCCTTTTTATTGCGTAATTTTTTTCTGGACGACATTAAGCCTCCATTGATTATCTTCAAATTTCTCTCCATGTAAATAATAAAAGAATTAGCTAGTGGCCTGTGAGGTCCTTAGGATTTCTTTGGCTTATGATATATTTCTTTGGCTTATCTTCAAATTTCTCTCCATGTAAATAATTAGAAGGACGACATTAAGCCCTCCATCTTGCTTCTTAGGATTTCTCGTGTACATGGAAATTCTCTTCTGATCAACCATATCATAAGCCAACTGATCTAAACCAATTTCTCTAATGCTTTGGGAGACTACGTACAATGACATTTGACACACTTTGTCTACATCTAGTGGGAGACCTCGACGTGCCTCTGCATCATTGTCTGGATGTGGTGATCGATTTCTCCTTGAACAATATTGTTCCAAGTCTAAATCAACCAAAATCCATGAAATAGCAATAAGCAAACTAGGGCAAAATAATTGACGCGCCAGACTATTATGCTAGACAGAACACACGAGAGAGGAAGATGTGATGATGTGATCTCACGGGTCCGTACCTTAAATTTGGTATTGAATCGATGGCTGGCCGCCGTTGTCTACTTGCTCCTAGGGTCCGACGATGGAGGCATGGGCGAACATTGGAGACGAGAGGATAGAGGATAGATGTGAGTTCGGGAACCAAACAAGTAAAAAGGCGTGGCGGCGGCTGTGTGCGAATCATACGAGTACAATTCAGCATTGAGAGACCTGCATACTGGGGCATAGAGGCAATTTGCTTATGGGCCTTTCGGCCTTTTTGGCCTATCCACGTTGCATTATTTTATTTGATGGGGTCAGACTAATTTTTTTACTGGGTTCAGGCCTAATAAGACCTATTTATACGTACGTGACCAACAGCTTTCCGTTGGGTTCAATTGCACCCAATGCCACAACGGTGGCTCCGCCCCTGGGTATTGTGACGGTGTCACGGGGAGGAGCGCCCGTAGTCAAGCCCCGGGGATGTAGCCATATCGGCGAACCTCGTTAATAAATCTCGGTGTCGTGCTCGTGTGATTGCTTGGTCCTCGGATGATCGACGGAATGCCTCGGATTTATTCTAACATCATCTGTCTACAGGAGGTGCCCAGGCTGCTGCTCAACCTCCAATTCCCGCTCGATCACCTCTGCCGGCTCTCCAACTGGCTGCTCCGCCTCGCACGCGTCGGCATCGACATCGACAACGACCTCAGCTTGGACCACCCAAACAACTCCAACTTTGCCGACCACCACCGGCAGAAGCAGTACCACGATGACCACGGCCTCGAGGAGTTGGAGGAGCACTGCCCGGCCGTTCGCTTCGACGAGCTCTCCGCATCCGACTTCCACGGCGTCAGCGCCGAGACGACTATCCTCACGGAGGGCTCCATGGTGTGCCTCGGCGACTTCCAGGGTGCCGCCTGTGTGCGCCGACCGCGGGGGTGCCGGCACGTCTTCCCCTGTGGCTGTAGCTCGTTTGCAATTCTCTGTTGTTGCATGCTTGTGCATGATTTTGAAGGTTACGAAAAATTGAGCCAGACGCACGCATAGGGGGCAAGGAAATGAAAAGCCCAACATGACTGGGCTTTTTTTCTTTTCAGTCCTACTGGAGAAGAAAAGCTTGAGCGTCCACATTCGTCCTCCTGTCTGTGTCGCTCCCAGAAGCTCGTCGCCGCTGGTTGCATCCCCGCCGCCCATCGCCAACCTAAACCAAACCAAGGTACTACCTTTGCTGACTCACCACGGCGAGGGGCGAGGTCACCACCACCGGCTACTACCTGATTTTCCTCGGCCTGATCCGTGATTCCCTCTCTTTCCATCTGCAGATCTGCCCCCTGCCCAGGCCCTTCCGCTTCCGCTCAATGGAGGAGGCGGAGAAAGGGGAGGTCTTCCAGAGGAACACCAAGCCGAGGCTGGACAGCCATCCGGGCCGACGGCCGGCCTGCCCCTGCTCACCGACGACCTCATCCTGCAGATCCTCTCTCGCCTCCCCGTAAGATCCCTCCACCGCTTCAAGTGCGTCTACGTGTCCTGGCGCGACCTCATCGCCGACCCAAACAACCGCAAGAAGCTGCCCCAAACCCTGGCCGGCTTCCTCTACTTCACCACCGACGACAACGGGCATCACCACCGCTTCGCTAGCGTCTCTGGCGGCGCAGCCCCGTTCGACCCTTCCTTCCCTTGCCGGACTGGATTTTTAGAGCACTTGACCCAGGCACTGCTAACCTAACTCTCCAATATCGCTTTAAGATCTATGCGACAGAACTAACTTTCTATATAAAATTTTCTTTTTTTTGTTTCTCCCACATAAAACATATCTTGAAGTTCAAACCTATGCAACGTGGCAAAGCTTTCTAACTAGAATCTAGGATAAATCTTTCAGAATTTTTCGTCTAACATAACTACTAAAAATATGATTTTTTTAATCAAACAATACGTATTTTGTATATTTATATTTGACAAAAAAATCTAAAAGATTTATCTTAGATTCTACTTAGAAAGCTTTGCCACGCTGCATAGATTTGAACTTCAAGATATGTTCTATGTGGGAGAAACAAAAAAGAGAAATGTATTTGCATGAATCTTAAAGCAGGAAATGCATGGCTAGATAAGGAGGGCCTGGGTGCAGGTGCTCTAATATATATTTTCGTTCCCTCGCCTGCAGCCTAACAAGTACAAGGACATTGACCAGGTGGACGCCTGCAATGGCCTCCTTCTCGACCGCGGCAGCAACAAGAAGATGGCTTATTGGAATTGGAATTGGGAAGAAGATGGTTTCCGTTTTGTTGTGTGCAATCCCGTCACGGGGAGGTGGGTGGAGCTGCCCCATTCAACACGGACGCCGGAAAACAGATTTAGCTGTACCGCAGGTCTGGCTTTTGATCCTGCGGTCTCATCCCATTTCTACGTTCTTCACTTCGAGCAGATCTTTCTAGGATCTTACATCACAGCAGTGAACATCTACTCGTCGCGGACAGGAGCCTGGAGTCACAGCCATAGAGGGATGGTTGAGAAAGTGATACTCTGCTCCTTTAGCAAGTATGTGTTTGTTTGTGGTATGATGTACACGGTTGGCAGCCTGAACGACAAGCATGAGTATGTGCTGCTGGGGGTGGACATGGAGGGGAAAGTGTGGAAGACTATCCGCATGCCGAACGGTCCAGGAATTGGTGCAATTGGATTGTCGCAGGGGTGCTTACACTATTCTGTAGATTCCGTGGTTCCCATCGATGATAACAATGAAAGCCCAGTCTCTGAGATAACACTATGGTGCCTCAAGGATCATGACAGCAAGGAATTAGTGCTGAAGCATACCGCCAACACCAATAAGCTTGTGAGCATGACTGGGAAGAAGTACAGAGTGGTTGAGATTCATCCGCATTGTGACACCATTTTCCTGGTTACATGTGGAGGTGATACCTTGGTGGCATATGATATGCGGCATCAGAAAGTTGGATGTATCCTTAATCTTGAGAAAGACTGTATACAAAAATTTCTACCTTATGTTCCTCTGTTCCAAAAACCATTAGCAGAGGTTGACGAGCAGTAGTTTTACCTTCGAACCACACCAGTGTTTCCTCCAAGAACTGGCTCTTGTGTCGGCAGAACTACTTGTTTGTGTACCTCTGAATATGTTCCTTTGGTCTCAGAGCCGTTAGCAGACACAGGCAGGCAGTAGTTTTTTACCTTCAAACCACCCCTGTGCTTCCTGCAAGAATTGTCTCTTCTTTCGGCTGAATTATTCTGCTTGAATCATGCCGCAAATGCCTGGTAAACCTACTGATTAAGCATCATTTTATTTTCAAAAAACACTGTTACTCTTGTTTGTTTGTTTTTGCTGGACATGTATTAGTTCCATGTGGCTAAATTAAATTATACTGTAATCGGTCTTTCTTTCCATAACAATTACGTAGTTATTATGGTTATCATAATTACGTAGTAAAATCAGACTGGTTACTGGTGCAATGTCTAGACAACCTTATTCATTCAGTATTTTGGTAAACCACTGCCTTTGAGCAGGTTATTTTATTTGTATTTTCTGTTGCTAATGAATTCAGTAGAGCTATGGATCTGTTAACCACAGAGATATTACATCAACGCCAAAAAATGAAATAAAGGTGCAAGCATTAATGGAAAGATTTTCTGCTTGGTGTGTGTGAGTTTGGTCCGTTTTTGTTACTTCAGGTTATAGAACAAAGGTGTGCACCGTATAAGCTTGTGTTTCACGTATAAAAATAGGATTTAGGCTGGTGCCAGGACAGGGCATTTACTGTGCTATAACTGTAGTTAGCGAACATACAACAATATATTGAAGCATTGGTAAATGCAGTGTCGATTTGCCTACTGGCTGTACCCATCGAGACGAACATTATGGAAATCGCTGTACATCAACGAACTCCAAAATTCTTTCAAAAATGAAAATCATAATGTCAGTATCTTGCTGATATCTGCATAAACTGCCATGGAAATATGCAAGGTTGTAAAAATTATCTTTAGGAAAAGCGAAACAAATCATTATGTTGCCAGTGCTTCATGGTTCAGTAAAATGGCATAAAAGCAGCCTGGAGCAAAGGGCCCTGCAGACAGTATGAAGACGTGTGGCGATCATTCCTTATTTGGAGAGGAGAAAACTTGCTGGCGTCCATACCCCAAATTTCCAAAGGTTATAAAAAAAGCTGTGTATCGTATAAGCTTGTGCTTCACGTATAAAAATAGGATTTGGCTGGTGCCAGGACAGGGCATTTGCTGTGCTATAAATGTAGTTAGCGAACATACAACGGTATACTGAAGCGTTGGTAAATGCAGTGTCGATTTGCCTAGTGGCCAAGCAGAAACTTATCAGACTATTTCAGAGATTTCAATCCGAGTTTACTTTTTCTGAAGTTGTTCCTCTCTTGTCAAGGTATGTGCATACCAGTAACAAATAGTAGCATTTGTAGCTTCCTTTTTCCGTGTCCTCTAATTATTCCGCCAAACACTGCATGTAACTAAGCAGTACAAATGGTTAACAGTGGCCAGGCACAAGCATTACCTGGTTTATATGCTGGCAGTGGCAAGAAATTATTAGCTGATTGGTTAGATGTTTCAAATTGTGTAGTACTCCTGTTCATTGTATGTCGAATGGTTTTTCTTCTAGCTAGGACTTACTCAGTTGAGGAATTCATGGTCGTGTGTTCCAAGATTTGTTCATCATCCATTTGTATCTTCGATGTCACTGATTGGAGGGAATACTAGGTTGTGAAATGGCATTAGCCTGCCAAACACAACTATATATGCATATAGATACAATAATATCCATCATCCCCGCGTACCATCTCTGCTAGATTCATCTTTGCTTCCGTTCCATGGAGGTGTAGGACTAATCTCACATCCCTGATCCCATGGTTAGCTCTATTGTTATAGGTGCATTTGATGATGCTTATACTGAAAAAAAAGTCAGTGATCCGTGGTTTTTTCAGGCCTGAAAGATGCTCAATTCAGATTCAGAGGTTGCTATTGGAGTACTTCTACAGGCAACAATGGTAGCCACGATTTGCCATTAATTGGCTGTTCCCTCTGATAGTTCTCTTGTTTCAGTTGATAGAAAATGTCTTCTCCAAAGCACTATGTGGGTGCTCTTGTTTCTAAACTAAACTAAAAAGTTGTTCCACCCTGCCTTTTTTGTAAAACATATGTAGTGTGAAGTTTCATTCCCTTTCAATGAAACTTCAACTTCATTCTCTGCAATGCATAACAACGCCACGCACTTACCTGAACTGCTGTAGCTTATAATTTTCCGACTTCATTTGGACAGAGGTTGGGTAAGTTGGTGAAAAATGCATCTTTAGTTATTTATTGATTATTTGTGCACCCGTCTTATGATGCTGTCTAGGTATCAAATGAATATGTTCAAGTAGATATAGTACCTTCTATCAGAAAGAATTGGCAACTCTCTCAGGTTGATGTTTCTTTGTGAACAGTTTTGAAATTCTGTTTTCATGTTGAGATATGCGCTTGAATGTTTTGGCTTTCCCATTGGGCCGTTCTGATCTAGCTACCTGATGATTACCATCGTTTGCATTAAGAAGGGAGATCTGAATGCCCATTCCCGTTGAAGCCTGCTTGCCCGCCCTGGTTGATGGCTATTAGTCTGTTGCTGTTGTTGTTGCTGCTGCAACTAGTACTGCCACCACCGCCATCATTGTTTTTTTGCCATCGTTGTTCCCTACATGCTTGAAACTACTCAACCCCCTGAATTCTTAATTTCATTGCGCCGGGCTGGCTTAGTGGGCTCCAGGGAGCAAATATGTTGTTGCAAGTATGAATGCTTGGCAGATCGAAAGAATGCCCCAACTTACCATCTTAGATGTTGAGCTATGTTCATTTTTTTATTGTTTTTCGCAACTCTGATTGCCCAATGGTCATGGGTCTTTTTGCACTGCCATTTATGCTTTCGTGTGTTCTTCTCCAGCAATCGTATATTGGTGATCTTGCTCTTTTATTTCAGAATGAATGCAACCTTATTTCTGTTTGTTTCACCTACCAAAGTACTGTCCATGCATGTGCATAAGTTAGTGAAAATGCAACTTTTTCAGTTGATTATTTTCTCAATCTGTCTTACGTAGATGGGAGTTTTCAGCATTGGGCATGCCTTATTTTTATGATGGGTGTACTTCTGTAAGCATGGGTTTGTTAGTTCGTTTCATGTTTTTGCTGAAATCATCTCAGTGTGGTTATCACTGAGAGTTTCTGTAACGCACCCCTGGGGATCAGATCTGGGAGGAAGAAGGAGGAGGAAATAGAACTGCAGCGAAGGGGAATTAGATAATTGACGGAGAGGCCGAGGAAGGTCAGCTTCCGGTCCAAGTCATGTACAATAATCGATACCCCAACTCACACCACACGCACCGTGCTTATACCACCCGCACACGCACGCTACAGCTGTCACGCACGACTTGGTCTGTGGTTTCGTCTCCCAGCCTTCCAGCCGTCGTCTTGTCTCTGACCTCGGGACCCACTAGCCTTCCAGATCCGTCTGGCTCAGTGCGGCACTCCCAGGTGACGTGACAATCTCCCCCCCTTGAGCCGCGGCTTGCCCCCAAGCCGCTGATGTGGGGAACCGCTGTTGAAGCTCCGCTGGTTCCTCCCAAGTGGCAAGAGACCCGGGCAAATCTGACCAATGAATCAGGTAGCGCGAATGGTTACCTGTGCTGGTGCCTACCTCTTTACTTGCCAGGACCTGGAGCAGTTTGTGTTGCATTTGCAGTATTGCCGGTTCTAGTGGAAGATCGGCTTCTATGGTGGTGTCCACTCCCAAGGCTTGTTTCAGTTGTGAAATGTGCACGACAGGATGTATCTGGCTTGTTTCTGGCAGTGCGAGACGATATGCTACCTTCCCAACTCTCGCAGTCACCTGATATGGACCATAGTATCGAAAGGCAAGTTTTTGGAACGGCCTCCGTGCCACTGAGCTCTGTATGAACGGTTGCATTTTGAGGTAAACCCAGTCACCTACAGCAAATTCCTTGTCGGTGCGCTTCTTGTCTGCTTGTCTCTTCATCCTGTCTTGGGCATTCTTGAGCTGCTGCTGGAGCAGATCCAGCATGATCTCCCTTTCTTTTAGCCATGTCTCTAAGTCTGGGACAGTGCACTGATCTACTTGAGTTACCCCAAACTCCCGTGGCAGTGTGCCGTAGATGACTTCAAACGGCGTTCGTCCTAGTGCTGAGTGGAAGGTGGTATTGTACCAGTACTCTGCAAGGAACAGCCATTTGCACCAGTTGCACGGACACGAGTGAACTGAGCAGCGCAGGTAGGTCTCAAGACACTGATTCACGCATTCCGTCTGTCCATCCGTCTGGGGGTGGTACAAAGAGCTCATTCTCAGCTGTGTCTGAGAGAGGCGAAACAGCCCCTGCCACAAGTTGCTTGTAAAGACACGATCCCAATCTGATATCAATGCCAATGGAAGCCCATGCAATTTGAAGACTTGCTGCATGTATATCTGGGCGACTGTCAGTGCTGTGTAAGGGTGCTTCATGGGTATAAAGTGTGCATATTTGGAGAATTTATCCACCACCACCAATATCACATCATCTCCTCCTGATTTGGGTAACCCTTCGACGAAATCCAGCGACACGACCGTCCATGGTCGTTTGGGAATGGGCAGCGGCTGGAGTAGCCCTACCGGAGACACCCGTTCTGTTTTCGCTCTCTGACACGTGCTGCACTGACGTACAAACTGTTGCACCATGTTTTTCAAGTTCTTCCAAGCAAATAGCCGGCGCACTCTATTATAAGTGGCGTGAAATCCGGAGTGCCTCCTGTTGCGCTATCATGTAACGCCTTGATCAGAGAAGTCTGAATTTCGGTATCGTTGCCAATCCAAATCTTATCGTTGTATCTGAGCACACCATCTTGAATGGAGTATCCTTCATCGCTGGTTGGATCTAACGACAGCCTGGTGAGCAGTTGTTGCGCTGTAGTGTCCTGTCGATAGCTCTCAGTAATGGCTTCCAGCCATGCTGGTTTGCAAACTGCCACGGCTGCCAACTTCTCTGGTATGTCATG